ATAGTTATCCTAAACATTACTATTATATTGTACTAAAAGCGTACGTTTGTGACTTCAACACGTAAAAGTACTTTTAAGCTATATGTTTCTGGGTCTCCATCTCTGGAACAAGAAGTTTTCCATTGATGCTAAAGTAAATTTTTCTGTTGACAAGTTTTGCAAGTGCATCTTGCTGCTTTGCCACGCATGCTAACCAACAAGTGACGCCTTTTAATTTTATGATTAGTTGTACGAAAGACAGGAATTAGTTTTTTTTATTTTTCAAAGATTTGAAATCTCGACCAAATTTGCCTCATCACTCATCTTGGAATCGCATATTCCTGCATCGCAAACACCGGGAAGATAATGTGAAATGTAAGAGCGAGTAGAACAGAAAGCTTCAAAGAATTTAAAGCAGTATTTATGAAATTAAATTGATGCGGATTCAGAGGGAAGTTAGAGGAATTAAAGCGATATAAGCGAATGACGAGGAGAACAGGAAGAGAAAATAAGAACGAAGTCAGTTAGTAAGCGAAAATGGTTTGCAAATATTATTTTAAGAAGTGAAGAAAGTGATTTTTTGGCGTATGTATATTTTTTCGTGCAGAGTGATAACTTGAATAGTAGTCAAGCAAGCTCAAGATCAAGTTTATAATTTATGGATTGCATAATTAAATTATATAATGATCGTATCGGTTCCGCAGTTTACATCAAGCAGAGAGACAACATTGCGACATTGCCATGTGAATTCGTCATACGACATACGGTATATAAAGCTGGCACAGAACAGCAGAATTTTCAGGTGCCATACCTCAAGCAGAGGATGGACCTTCGAGACCAGTTGTTTCATTTAGGCCGATATCTGTATTTTGGACTCTAGACAGTTTGTCGACTTTGCGCTCCTCGAATAAACTTAATCCGTACAAGAAAAGATCATCTAACTGCACTGCGACAGCCTTGAGCTTGTTTAATCGGGAAGACGGGCTTGCAGAATACATCAAACAGAATGTCCGTAAACAGCTTTTGGTGGTATATTAATACATAATTATATATGAAAATAT